GCCAAGAAAGCGACATCCACACAGCCCTACTACAAACATCCCACTTCAAGAGAATCAGCAGCCCGACCAAGCAGGCCAGTGACAGGCCTAGAAAAAATCCAACTGCACAAAATGCATGGCAGCCACACACAGCAAACAAAATAGAAACTCTACTCCCAGACGCTCCCAACTCATGTTTCGGGCCCTTGGGCCCTCGCGGGCCCTCGCGGTCGTAGGAGGTTTCGGGCTGGTTTTTTGCAAATTGGGGGCCTTTGGGCTGCAAACAAGCTTCGGATTACCATCGGATAACCGTCGGATAACCGGCGGATGGCCGTCGGATAGCCGTCGGATAACCGTCGGATGGCCGTCGGATAGCCGTCGGATAACCGTCGGATAATTGGGCCGGGCCCCCCAAAACTGAGGGTCTACGAGGGCCCGGCGTCAGATAACCGTCGGATACCCGTCGGATAGTAATGCTAGGGGAGGTATGATTCGAGGCCATTTTGGTTCCATCCATCCCGTCCGGATTGCACTGGGGGCCCACGAGGGCCCCGTATCCGACAAACAGGCCGGTCCCTCCCTAGGAGGGCCCCGGACCCTCCCTAGGAGGGCCCACGAGCCTCTGGGTTGTTGTTCTTGTTGTTGTTGTTGCTGCTGCTGTTGTTGTTGTTGTTGTTGTTGTTGTTGTTGTTGTTGTCGTTGTCGTTGTCGTTGTCGTTGTCGTTGTCGTTGTCGTTGTCGTTGTCGTTGTCGTTGTCGTTGTCGTTGTCGTTGTCGTTGTCGTTGTCGTTGTCGTTGTCGTTGTCGTTGTAGTTGTCGTTGTCGTTGTAGTTGTCGTTGTCGTTGTCGTTGTCGTTGTCGTTGTCGTTGTCGTTGTCGTTGTCGTTGTCGTTGTCGTTGTCGTTGTCGTTGTCGTTGTCGTTGTCGTTGTCGTTGTCGTTGTCGTTGTCGTTGTGGTTGTGGTTGTGGTTGTGGTTGTGTTGTTGTTGTTGTTGTTCCTTCCCGAAGCGAGATAACGCCGCGCTCTGCATCGTCACAAAATACTGCAAATCGCAGTGCTATTCAGCTTCGCACGCAAAAAACACCAGTATTTGCGGCGTTCTGGCGCTTCCCGTTTCTCCCGTGCAGCACGCGCTGAAAACATCGCAAATACCTGCAGTTTCTCATCTCGGGCGCGGAAAACATCGCAAATACCAGTGTTTTGTTGCGTCACTTGCGCAAAATACTGCTAGTTACACATCAGCACGGCGCACATGCCTGGCACATGATAAGCACGCTCACGTGAACTGTGTCAGATCTGACATCCGCTCAGCACGGTATCCACGCCTACCACCTGGTAAGAACAC